GGGGGGGGGGGGTGTCTTCGGTCTAGATTAGGGTTAGGTGATATTAAAAAAATCATCTCACAATTATTGTCAAGGAAATTATCACGATATTCAATAATATCGCGATAAATTATGCAATAAAAACAATTTTAATTAAATTAATATCAAAGAGTAGTAAGCTTATATATAATTTTATTAAAAACAAGTAAAACAACAAGTAAAAGTAATATGAAGCCTTTTTCTGGTCTAATATTTACTCATGGTCATAAACCAGAACTGTCTATGCAGTCTCTAAGCTGTGTCTCCGCTGGCACACAGCGCAAGAAAAGCCTGTAATTTCATTGTTCAGCGGATTGATACATAAATATTAGCTTGGGTATCGTATTAATTTCGTATTTAATTCAGGAAATAGTTTTAATTCTTTTAAAGGGATACGGCAATATATTTTTTTATTATTTCATTTTAAAGAATTTTTAAAATTATATGACGTTAATCTCCTTTACCAATTTTGCGTAACTTTATTATTTCTTGAAATATTTTGACTTAAAATAATATGATGCTTGTGATGTTACTCTGAGTATATATCCACACCGGGCAAGCTTGAAAAAAAAGGCTGACCACGGTGGGAATCGAACCTACTACCTTTGGCATATTACTAGCCCAATGCTCTTCCAACTGAGCTGCGCGGTCAGATTGGTTTGAGTATGTGATATTTCGGATCAGAATCTAGTTCCTTCGATATCATGCAATGTAATCTAATAATCAGTAATGATTTTTCTGTGTTGGTGTAATGTACTCAGGTGAATATGATGCTTGTGATGTTACTCTGAGTATATATATACTCAGAGTAACATCACAAGCATCATATTCACCTGAGTACATTACACCAACACAGAAAAATCATTATTAAAATAATTTGCTGTCCGCCATCTTGGGTTAGCCATATAAAACTACATCTAAATGACCAAATAACATTATGTCTTGTTTGAAAAATCGTCAGACAGTTTTTCAAATAGTTACTGAACTATATTATTTTGGGCTCATAATATAACCAATTGCTCATTTGCTCTATGGATAAAATTCTTGTGTGACCCTGCTTATGATGTCACATGCATATCCTCCAAGATGGCAGAAAGCTAGCTGATTTGTGATTTTTTCTGTCCAAATATCTCAAGAAATAATAAAGTTACGCAAAATCGGTAAAAGAGATTAACATATAATTTTAAACATTCTTCCAAATGAAATAATAAAAATATATATTGCTGTATCCCTTTAAAAACTATATTTTCTAGAAATTGATATTTTTTAGGATTTTATAAAAGCTATATACATGTTCAAAGCAATATCACGATAGTCACTGAGCATGAGAATAATTTCAATATATTGTCGCTCAAGTTTCTACCTTTGATACGATAATTACGATTGAAAATATCGCGATAGAGTGCTCCCCCCCCCCCCCCCCCCCC